GACCTGCTGGGGTCAAGCGATCCTTCCACCTCAGCCTTCCAAAAAGCTGGAAATACAGGCGAGTGCTACCACACCCAGCTAATTTTTGAATTATTGTAGAGATGAGGTCTTACCAAATTGCCCAGGTGGGTCTCGAACCCATGGGCTCAGGCAATTCACTCACCTCAGCCTCCCAAAGTGCTGGGATTACAGACTGAGCCAGCAAGCCCACCCAACATAATTATATTTAACATACATACACATAAATAGAGATTAAAAATAGAGAAAAACAAGAGAAAGATTAAAAAAGTAAAATAGGGAATCTCGGTGAAGGTATTCAGGAATTCTTTGTCTATTACTGTAACTTTTTTTTGAGCCTAAGTCTCAGTCTATGCACAGGCTGGAGTGCATTGGCATGCTCACAGTCACAACAACCTCGACCTGCTGGGCTTAGGCAACCTTCCAGCTCAGCCTTCCAAATACAAGGAACTTTAGGCATGCATGAGACCTCGTCTCTAAATGAAAAAATTAGCCAGGTGTGGTGGTATATGCCTGTGGTTCTAGCTACTTGGAAGCCCGAGGCGGAAGGATCTCTTGCCCAGCAGGTCGAGGCTGCTGTGGTCATGAGAGTGCCACTGCACTTCCGCCTGGGTGGCACAGACTTCGACTCAAAAACATAAAATAATATAAAAACTAAATACATTTGTAAAATAATAACAATAGTTGGGTATAGTGGCTCACATGTGCCACTGCACTCCAGCCTGGGCAAGAGTGAGACTCCAACTAAAAATAAATAAATAAATAATAACAATAATCTCATCATTCTTCTTCACCAAGTCCAGAAATATTTCAGGTGTTAGACGAAAACTCAAAACAAAACGAGGCTTCTCTGATTTCACACAAAAACTGTCCCACTTTGCTCAGAAGGGTCTGGTTTCAGCAATGAAAGCTTCCACATCCTGGCCAACTCCTCAGACCCAGGTCAACGAGGAAGTTGGTTACCCTATCTTAAACTCTTTTCTGCACAGTTAAAAATCTAATTTAAATGGTAATGTTTTGAGTTTTTATGTAGAAAAAGACAACGTTCTTTCTTCAACCTATTTTGGCTGAAACCTCTCAATCATGCTTTTAAAGTTTATATATTCTTTTTGAGTTGTAAATTGATACAGGATTGGCTGTCATTTAAATTGCTACACTCTGCCGGAGCGATTTGGCAAGATACACAGAGAAACTAAAAAATACTCCAAAATCTTGAGAGTAGTCTTTTGGTTTTTTTGTTTTTGTTTTTTTGAGTTGGAGTCTCACTCTGTCGCCCAGACTGGAGTGCAGTGGCCACTCCCGGCCACCGCAGCCTCAACCTGCTGGGTTCCGGTGATCCTTCCACCTCAGCCTTCCAAGTAGCTGGAATTACAGGCATACACTATCTCGCCCGGCTAATTTTTTTTTTTTTTAATTTATTGTAGAGATGAGGTCTCACCAAGTTGCCCAGGCAGGTCTCAAACTCGCTGGCTCAGACAATCCACTCACCTCAGCCTCCCAAAGCACAGGATTATAGGCTGAGCCGCTGAGCCACCAGCCTGGCTGAGAGTAGTTTTAGTCACAGGAATTCATCTAAAGGAAATCACCTTAGATTGCCCAAAAATGTGCAAACTAATATACAGTCATCATAGTGTTATGACAGTAAAATACTGGAATTTACCCAAAGTGTCTAAATCTGGAGGAATGGTAGTATAAATTATGCTACTGTAGTCTGACACACTTTGCATGAAATCATTCATTTATTATTTAAAGGATGCTACAGTCATGCGACTGCATGTTGGGCAGTCACTTTTTAACTCATGTTTTTCAAAAAGGACACTTCCGGGCACAGTGGCACACTCCTGTAATCCCAGCACTTTGGGAGGCCGAGGTGAGGGGATTGCCTGAGCCCAGGAGTTCCAGACCAGCCTGGGCAACATGGCAAAACCTGATCTCTACAATAAATAAAAAACTTAGCCAGGCATGGCGGCACACACCTGTGGTTCCAGCTACTTGGAAGGCTGAGGTGGAAGGATTGCCTGACCCCCTCAGGTTGAGGCTGCAGTGGTCAGGAGTGTGCCACTGTACTGCAGCCTGGGCAACAACAGTGAGACTCCAACTCGAAAAAAAAGAAAAAGAAAAAAAAGAAAACTGACACTGGAAAATGTTTGTGCAACATTGTCAAATAAAGAAATAGGATTTCATGAATATACAGTCATCTACAGAGTATGAAGCCATTTTTAAAATACACAAATGTGAATATATGTATATATATATATAAGTTTAAAATGAGAGTATACACTGTTAACATACTATATGCTATATGTGCACATACTCGACACACAAACTGTATACTATTCCAAATTAGCATAATTTAAGTGTTTATCTCTGGATAGTAAAATTATAGGTGACTTTTAATTTATTATTTTTTTTAATTTGTTTGAATCTCAGTCTATTTCCCAGGCTCAGTCTGTTGTCCAGACTAGAGTAAAATGACATGATTAAAGCTTACTTCAGCTTCCAACCCGGACTCAAGCAATCCTCCTGCTCAGTCTCCTGAATAGCTTGAACTATAGACACATACTGCCACACCTGGCAAGCTTTTTTTTTTTTTAATTTCTGTGGAGATGAGTTCTCACTATGCAGCCTAGCTGGTCTCAAACTCCTGGCTTGCTTGCAATCCTCTCCCCTTGGCTTCCCAGTATGCTGGAATAACAACTGTGCCCAGCCTAATTTATTATTTGAATGTATCTATATTTCTACTTTTCAAGAATGAATGTGATTTTTATTCTTAAAAAACATAATTTTTAGACTTCTAATTATATGCAATGAGATTATAAAATATTAATTCTACATGCTTTCTAAGAAATAAAGGAGTTTAAATTAAAATGCTCTCAAAATTTTATCTTAAAAACAAACAGCTAACTAAATCACAACTAAAGTAGACAGCTTCTCCAAAGCCTCTCCAATGGCACTTAGAGATTGGAAAATTCAGCCGAACTTGGTGGCTCAGCCTGTAATCCGGCGCCTTTGGGAGCCTGAGGTGAACGGATTGCCTGAGGCCGCGGGTTCGAGAGCCGCCTGGGCAACTTGGTGAGACCTCATCTCTACAATAAATCAAAAAATTAGTCGGGCATGGTAGTGCGCGCCTGTACTTCCAGCTACTTGGAAGGCTGAGGTGGAAGGATGGCCGGAGCCTAGCAGGTCAAGGCTGCGGTGGCCGGGAGCAGCCACTGCACTCTAGTCTGGGTGACAGAGTGAGACTCCAACTCAAAAAAAAAAAAAAGAGAGACTGGGAAATTCAGTTACAGAGGTGTACTCTGCAATGGCCAAAGAAATTCATTTGCTAGTTGGGATGCCAGCAGTCATTTCTTTTACGTGATATTTTACATTACAAAACCAAGACAGTCAGACTATACATGCAAACATCCTGGGACATAAAAGTTAAAAGTAGAATAGACTGATGGAGAGTTTTCTGAACCAGACATCCCATTTGAAGTAGGTTCTATTACCTCCCAGCTATCTGGTTCCAAGAATTCTTTCTTTTCTGTAGCTTTCAGAAACTCTTCCAGAGTCACCAATCGGTCTTTGTTAGTATCAACCTGATTAAAAGAAAATAGATGCATATAAAAAATAAATCTTTCTCATATTTTTAGACACAAGCAACTACTTATAACTCACTAACAAGCAACTGCCTCTCATGCATCCCTTTACATACATACATACATAGCCTAACACTCACAGAAACTTGAGAGAAAAAAGCAAAAACAGAGCACTCACCATTATGTTGGTGTCAGAAAACAGATATCTTTCTCTCTTATGTATTTCTCATTTGAAAATGTGAGATATCTATAAGTCGAATACCCCAGAGATCACCAAGTTTTAGTCAGCTGAGCAGACTGGTGAGACTGCTATTGTATTCCTCTCTCACCATAATATAATGAGGGGGGCAGCCCCCCGAAAAAATGAAATTCTTTTTGGACGGCAGGCCCCTTGTAGTCTAGGCTACTCATGCTAAGTAAGTGTTCTAGGAACCAAAGAGTACCAGTGTACCAGTTAGCACTGTTGTGAGAGACTACTTTTGGCTCCAGTGAAATTTTTTATTTGGATAGTCTTTCAATGTTTTTAATCATAATTTCATAATGAGTAATTGACAAGTGAACCATCCATACTGGGCTGAGTATTCTGCAGTTTTTGACCCAAAATAACGGCATGACCCCGGTGCCCCAACCTCCCTATTCACCAGATTTCACCCCAAGTTATTTTTTTTGTTTTCTGGAAGAAAAAAGCCCTCATAAAAGATTTGTCTATGTGGAAGAGGTGAAGCAAAAACAGCAGAAGTACTAAAAGGAATCAAAGTTGACACGATCAAAAACTGTTTTGAGCCGGGCTCGGTGGCTCAGCCTGTAATCCCGCGCCTTTGGGAAGCTGAGGTGAGTGGATTGCCTGAGCCCGCGAGTTCGAGACCCGCCTGGGCAGCGAGACCTCATCTCTACAATAAATCAAAAAATCAGCCGGGCATGGTAGCGCATGCCTGTAATTCCGGCTACTCAGAAGGCTGAGGTGGAAGGATCACCAGAGCCCAGCAGGTAGAGGCTGCGGTGGCCGGGAGCAGCCACTGCACTCCAGTCTAGGCGACAGAGTGAGACTCCAACTCAAAAAAAAAAAAACAAAAAACTGTTTTGAGCAGTAGAAAAAACAACTTGATAGGTGAATTGCATAAAATGGAGAGTACTTTGAAGGTGACTGAAGTTTAAACATGTAAGAATAAATACACAGGTTTTTATGAATAAATTCTATATTTTATGGGTCCCCCCCCCCCTCATATATAACCCCTCTTGAAGTCAAGTGCTTGGGTAAGAAAAATAACCATTCTGAAGGAGGACTGTTTTAGCCAAGAGTAAAGGAGTTTAAATTAAAATGCTCTCAAAATTTTATCTTAAAAACAAACAACTAACTAAATCAAAACTAAAGTAGACAGCTTCTCCAAAGCCTCTTCAATGGCACTTACAGACTGGGAACTTCAGTTACAGAGGTGTACTCTGAAATGGCCAAAGAAATTCATTTGCTAGTTGGGATGCCAGCAGTCAACAGAGATCCCAACTCAGCATGAACAGGTTAAGTACTCAGGTAAAAGTCACTGAAGCCAAACAGTGAGCTTCAGTCACCCTGCATAGGATGTATAAATCAGAGTTTTCTGTTTAGGGGGAGGGGAGGGGGCACAGAGGCTGTGGAGAAAAACAAATATTGTAATTAGGGTGGTCACGGAGGTCTCTTTGAAGAAGGGCATCTGAGCACAGACCTGGTAGAGGGAGACCATGGGATGATCTACAGAAGAGCATTCTGGGAAAAAGAAACATGAAGTTCCAATGCCTCAAAGTGGACCAGTGTGGCCAGCGTAGAGAGAGAGTCACAGGACATGGGGTCTGAGAGCAAGGTGAGGGTGACATCATGTCATGATCTTTTGGAAGAAGGCAGAATGTGGGATCATATCCTAAGAGAAAAGGCAAGCCATTGGTGTATTTTGACCAAGAAAACATGGCCTGTTCCATGCTTCTAAGAGTCTCTTTGATCTGCTGTGTGAAGTGATTGCATGGGCTAAGGAAAAACAGCAGAAACGCCCGTGAGGAGACCTGCTGAGACTTGTTGGTAGAGGTAGAAGTGGGAGAAGTGGTCAAGTTCTGGAGCTGTTTGAGGCAGATCTAACAGGACTTGCAGACTAGATGTGGGGTGTGAAGAAAGTAGACCTTACAGATGACTCAGCCCAAGCAGCCTGATGACTCATGCATGATTTGCTGAAATGAAGACGGCTAAGGGGGAACAGATCCTGGTCTGAAGAAGATGCACATTAACTACACCAGGGGACCTGTCAAACAGGTACAAGCTGGAGCTCAAAGAAAGCAGAGAGTTGAGAGAACGATTCTGAGCTCACCGACATGTGTGCTGGGATAGAGGATATACGAAGACACTGGACTCCATGCTATGACCTAAGGAAGGAAGACAGACGGAGAACATGACCAAAGGGTAGGCCCGGGACAGTGGGCCATGAGCTTAGGGAGGAAGAGGCACAGCCAGCAAGGAAGACTGAGAAGAATGAGTGTGGTGTGAGGACACTGAGGAAGTGTGGCTTCTCAAAGCAAAGTGAAGAAAGCATGTCAAGAAAGAGGGAGGCTTCCGCCATCGCTTTGCTAAGCTATGGTCGAGCCCTGTGACTCCTTGAGCTATTGTCTGGCCACATTTTCTTAGCCTTGGCCCCCTCCCCTACCTTGGAGAGCTGAATCTCCTCTCTCCTCTATTCTCTTCTCCTTTCTCTCTCTCCATTCTCCAGTGCTTTGCTAAGCTATAGTCTGATCATGTGGCTCCTTGAGCTATGGCTGCCATGTTTCTTAGCATTGGCCCCCTCCCCTGCCTTGAGGAGAGGAATAAATCTCTCTCTCTCGAATATGTTTTCTAAATAAACTATATTTTCCAATCTAAAAAAGAAAAAGAAAGAGAGAGGCATCAAAGGCTGTTCTGGGGTGAAATAAGCTGGACCACAAAATATGACAAGACAGAGTTGAATCAACAGGGGGATCTGGAGTGAACAGTGGAGGTTGCAGCATGTTCAGCACAGATGAAAGAGAAAAACAAAGGTGAGAAATAGCAGACAGAGGAAGAACAAACAACTCCACAGAACAGTTTTGCTTGGAAGGGAAGCAGAGAAGGTGGCAGTAACGAGAGGTTTGGTTTAGTTTTTAAGACAGAAGTTATTACTGGGCATGGTGGTTCATGCTTATAACTTCAGCACTTTGGTGAGGCAGAAGCAAAAAGATTGCCTGAGCTCAGGGTTGGAGATCCGCCTGGGCAACTTGGTGAGCCCTCATCTCTACAATAAATGAAAAAATTAACTGGGCATGGTGGCGCATGCCTGTAGTTCCAGTTACTTGGAAGGCAGAGGCAGAAGGGTCACCTGAGCCCAGCAGATCCAGGCAGTGGTGGCTGTGAGTGTGCCACTGCATTCTAACCTGGATGACAGAGTGACGCTCCAACTCAAAAAAATAAAAATAAAAAAGATAGAAGATACTAGATTGGGCCGGGCTCAGTGGCTCAGCCTGTAATCCCGCGCCTTTGGGAGGCTGAGGTGAGTGGATTGCCTGAGCCCATGGGTTCGAGACCCGCCTGGGCAACTTGGCGAAACCTCATCTCTACAATAAATCAAAAAAATCAGCCAGGCATGGTAGCGTGTGCCTGTAATTCCGGCTACTCAGAAGGTTGAGGCGGAAGGATCGCCAGAGCCCAGTGGGTTGAGGCTGCGGTAGCCGGGAGCGGCCACTGCACTCCGTCTGGGCGACAGAGTGAGACTCCAACTCAAAAATTAAAAAAAGAGAAGGTACTAGATTGTATTTTTCTCCAAATGGGAATGATCCAGAAGAGCCGGAAAAACTAATGCAACGGGGTGGGTAACAGCAGGAAGAGAATCTTTGAATAGGACAAACCAAATGGGACTTGTACAAGAGCGCAGGGGAAAGCCTTCAGTAGGAACAGCAGCAATCACTGTTAACAGAAGACCAGGCGAAACAAATGGTATAGCTGCAGGCTGGCTGCTAGATTTGGTGACTGGGAAGACACAGCATTCTCTTGATTGCTTCTACTGTATTTCTCAGCAAAATGAGAGAGCAGAGAGAGGAAAGAGAAGTGTCTTGAAGGTTTAAGGAGAAGGTAGAATTTGTGAAACTGTCAGATTCAGGGAGTGGAGAAGTGGACATAGTAGACCAGAGAATACCGTTGAATTTCCAAGCATAGGGCTTGCTACAGATTTGCACTTCTGACGCTAGAGTGAGAGCAGTTAGCATGTTTCCATGTTAATCTCCAGCCACCTTTCCCTGTCCATGGTAGTGGCATACAGCACTCAGCAGTTGCACAAATAAGGTACTTAAGTAACCACCCTTCTGTTTGCCAAGGACCTTTTCGATTACCTATTTAACAAGGAACACGCATCACTGTCTGGAGACCTAAATCAGAGGGGGAAAGAAACTAGCTGAACATGCCAAATTGAGAAAAAGGTCAGTTGCTTTGAGAACAGAAATTACAATATGAGGAGCTGTGGTATTTGGATTCTTATTCCCAACTATTGCTCCCTCCTGTGATAGGATTATGCACCCACACCCAGTATCACACCACTTGCTGAAACATGCTGTGGGAGGTATACATCTGCTCTTCATTGGCTTGGGGCTTGACAGGGATATGCTTCAGCAAATGAGATATAATTGGACATGAGGCTTGACTATGTGTTACTACATAGTTTGCCTTGGAGTCTCTTATGTCCCTTATAGGACCAGATACAGACTGCTCCTGTAGCCTCCAAATGAGAAGACTTCTCGAGCCAAGTATAACCAAGGTCAAGTCAGCTCAACCAAGTCCAGTCCAGTGATACTTAGTGGCAGTCAGCCTTTAATGCTATGTATTATGAACAAGAACTAAAAGTTTGCTGTTATAAGACATTAAAATATTGGGGCTTGTGGATTTTCTTAGTAAAAGTTAACATGGGTTTTTTTTTATCAAATATTAGACTTCATTGTTTTTCAATACCAAAAAAAAATGTTTTACAGCAGATATGCAGCAGCATTGCAATATTTTAAAAAATCTTTTGGGATATTTTTAAATAGTTGCAAGTTATTTTATTTATACTAAGGGAATCTGGTATAATATTCTGGATCAAGAATGCAAAATCCAATTAAATGTAGTCTGTGTATTTATTTTCCATCATATGGTAAGATCTACAGCAAGAATTAAATAATCCATAGACATAACATATACTCTTAATCTTTGAGAACATACCTCGTTCATTACATGTTCCCTCATTCTAAGCCTTTCTTCTTCCATCTCTACCATATCATCCTCTTCATTTTTGGGGTCATATACTTTCTCCAACTAAAAAGAAAATTTTTAAGCAAATATGAAAGGAAAGAAGGTAATAGAGGGTAAAAAAAACCACAATATTTCATCAATTCATTTACCTCTTTAGTAAATAGAGCTTCTAATTCTTGTTCATCCAGGAATCCATCATTATTGACATCTAAAGTTTAAAAGTTACAAATGTAAAAATGGATTTAACAATAAAACTCTTAGACAATAAATAATTAAAATATAATTATTTACAAATGGTTTGTAAAAGTAGTACGGATATGAAGCTAGAGGCCAGAGGAAGGGTTTCTTTTTTTAAATAAAGCTTTAGATCAACCCAACTGATAAAAATTCCACATTTACTTATACTTCACCATCGTTTTTTAGGAAAACATGTCTTAACCAATTTTATTCCAAAAAATATAAAGTAAAGCAATATGGCATAAGCAAAATTTAATATTTTAATAGAAAGCCAATTAGATATAACCTTGCCAGTCACAGAATTTCCTTCCATTGACAGCGAATCTTGCAATAAGTCATACAATGACTTAGTAGTAAAAGCCTGAATAAAGACACAGCTACTGACCTAAAATATTTTATAGTGCAGGTCACCAATAAAGATGACCATATTGCCCTAGAGAAAAGCTCTAAACATTTACCATCACTAGGTCTCAATAGCAGACCTTGGCAGAAATCAATTAAGAGTAAAGTAAATACTTTTTTCCCACAGCAGATATAATATTAATATTTGTATCAAATCTATTACCATGTAATTTGAAAAATGTCTTGGGGTCAAAGTCATTAGGATCCAATCCATCAGTCTCTTCCCATACCTCTTTTAGTTGATCTTTGCTTCCCTGTGAACCAATTTTAAAAAATTGCTCAAAATAAAATAGAATCTATGTGTATAAACTCAACATATAAATATGAGGAGCTATGCAGAATTAAGAATCAAGATTTAAGTACTAATAACTTAGGGTAAAATTCTGCTATTGGATACAAAGAAGTATCTTCATCTAAATATGGCTTCATAATGTCATAATCCTTACTGGATGATTAACTTTGGGGTGATTTTCATGCTTTTTTTTCATTTCTTCAAATTTAGATTCTTCTTCCTTCCTCTTCTCTTCATCCAGTGTTTTTAAATATTCTCTCCTTTCATGTTCCTTCATCATTTCATATTTTTTAAATTCCTCGTGACGAGTCTTGTCATAGTTCTCTAGATCATTTGTTGCCTAGAATGCAACAATGCATTTAAATTAAATAAAAAGATTTCTGGAAATATGTAAATAAAGCCTTCTTGAATAGAGCATACTTTCTTACAGAAGGTAGTATCAGAGGGCAAAAGAATACTGGACTCCTCTTTTGAATTCTACCATTTAATTTTAGTCATTATTGCTGGGCACGGTGGCACTCGCCTGTAATCCCAGCAATTTGGGAAGCTGAGGAGAGAGGACTGCCTGAGTTCTTGGGTTCGAGACCAGCCTGGGAAACTTGGCAAGACTACATCACTACAATAAATTTTTTTTAAAATTAGCCAGGCATAGTTGCATGCACCTGTCATTCCAGCTACTTGGAAGGCTGAGGTGGAAGGACTGCCTGAGTCTAGTAAGTCAAGGCTGTGGTAGCCATGAGTGTCCACTGCACTACAGCCTGGGTGACAGGGTGAGACTCTGACTCAAGAATAATAAATAAATGAAATGAAAATAAAATAATAAGAATAATTGTAGTCATTGTTATCACCAGAGATGCAGATATTCAAAGAAACTAAAAATTCAAAGCAAGCTTCAACATTATGAAGTTCCCCATAAGAAGGACTATATCAAATCTGCACAGTATAGAAAACTAGAATGGTTTCTAGCCTTTTTTTCTTTTAATGTCCACTCCTCATGTAGTATGGCTCATACCCGATTTGGGAGAGCATGGCATCACCATATTAACCGTGCAAGTTTCTAACCATTTCACTAAATCTAATAACTACTAGGTTAGATTTAACTCCATTCACACATAATATGAGAGGTCCACAAACTCTTATCTAAAATCCTAGAGGTCAACTGTGTTTCAGAATTTACTATATTTTAGGAAGGAAATATGGTACATATGCCATGTTATAGAATGTCCCTACAGTGTCTGTAATCAGATTAGTATTTCTTGCTGGGTGTAGTGGCTCACTCTTATAATCCCAGCGGAGGCAAGAGGATCGCCTGAGCCCATGGATTGGAGACCAACCTGGGCAACATGGCGAGACCTCGTCTCTAAGATTAAAAAAAAAAAAAAATTAGCCGGATATGGTGGCACATACTTGTCGTGCCAGTTACTTAGAAGACTGAGGTGGAAGGATCGCCTGAGCCCAGCAGATCGAGGCTGAGGTAGCCGTTAGCGTGTCACTGCACTTCAGCCTGGGTAACAGAGAAAGACTCCAACCAAAAACAAAAAACAAAAACAAACAGATAAGTATTTCTTTTTCAAAATCTATAAATTAACTAAGTAGGCTAAATAAAAACTAGAAAAAGTATTACTACATTGGTTAATTGCTGCCGGGCTTCACTATTTACAATTTTTTGGATCTTAGAACTGTGAATAAGGGACTGTGAATGTGTATGGTCATATGAGTATCTGTACTAACACAGGTTAAGTTACTTCTCCTTAAAGATAAGAATAGCCAGGTTCGGTAGCTCAGCCTGTAATCCCAGCACTTTGGGAGGCCGAGGTGAGTGGATTGCCTGAGCCCGCAGGTTCGAGACCCGCCTGGGTAATTTGGCGAGACCTCATCTCTACAATAAATCAAAAATTAGCCAGTGGTGGTAGCGCGTGCCTGTAGTTCTAGCTACTTGGAAGGTTGAGGTGGAAGGATCGCCAGAGCCCAGCAGGTCGAGGCTGCGGTGGCCGGGAGCAGCCATTGCACTCCAGTCTGGGCAACAGAGTGAGACTCTGACTCAATAAAAAAAAAAAACAAACAAGATAAGAATAGATAAGGCTAGGCACAGTAGCTCACACCTGTAATTCCAGCAATTTCGGAGGTGGAGGTGAGAGGACTGCTTGAACTCAGGGGTTCCAGACCAACCTGGGCAATATGGTGAAACCTCATCTTGACAATAAGTCAAAAAATTAGTCAGATTTGATGGCACACGCCTGTTGTTACAACTACTTGGAAGGCTGAGGTGCAAGGATCGCCTGAGCTGGGGTGGCTGTGAGGATGCCACTACGCTCCAGCCTAGGCAACACAGTGAGACTCTGACTCAAAAAAAAAAAAATGATAAGAGTAAGAGTACATCAAAGTTATATTTATTTTTGTTTTGAGTCAAAGTCTTACTCTGTTGCCTAGGTTGGAGTGCAGTGTCACTCTCATAGCTACCACAGCCTTGACCAGCTTGGCTCAGATGATCCTTTCACCTCAGCCTTCTAAGTAGCTAGAACTACAGGTGCACACCACCACACCCAGCTAATTTCTTTGATTTCTTATAAAGACAAGGTCTCACCAAGTTGCCCAGGTCGGTCTCAACCCTCCTCCCCATCTCCAGACTCAAGCAATCCTCTTACCCCTACCTCCCAAAATGCTGGGATTACAGGCATCAGTCATCACACTTGGCTAAAAGTTGTATTTCCACTTCAATGAATTTACTTGTCAAATTACAAAACCTCAAAGGCACAATCGAGACTACACTTTTCAGAATTATTCTTACCGCTAGGATTAGCATATCTAAGTCTGTGGATTCAAACTTGTCAGGATTCACATGGTTCAAGTGATCGAATTGTTTTAGGAGAACTTGGTGGTCCATGCCTACATCTGGAAGAAAATGAGAAAACTGTAAATGATCTATTACTTGAAGTTAGAAACATAAATATAAATGATATATAAGAAAAAACATTCATATTTATTGCTATAAGATTTTTAAAGAAAATCCAAAGTTTTAAAACAAGGATTAACATTTTTCTTTTAGTATATTGCACATATTGTTTTTCTAGACAAAGATGGTATCCTTGAATCTAGAATGGACTACAATTAAATATGCATATTTTAATTTTATATCTAGAAATACAAGTTGACTAACCAGCATAATTAATAACAAAAACCGAGCCGGGCTCGGTGGCTCAGCCTGTAATCCCGTGCCTTTGGGAGGCTGAGGTGAGTGGATTGCCTGAGCCCGCGGGTTTGAGACCGCCTGGGCAGCGAGACCTCATCTCTACAATAAATCAAAAAATCAGCCGGACATGGTAGCGCATGCCTGTAATTCCGGCCACTTGGAAGGCTGAAGCGGAAGGATCGCCGAAGCCCAGCAGGTTGAGGCTGCGGTGGCCGGGAGCGGCCACTGCACTCCAGTCTGGGTGACAGAGTGAGACTCCAACTCAAACAAACAAACAAAAAATAACAAAAACCTTTTTTTATCATCTTAAAACCACCAAATACACTACTTTATTTTTATTTATCTATTTTTTTAATTGGAGTCTCACTCTGTCACCCAGGTTGAAGTGCAATGACATGTTCATGGCCACCGCAGCTTCAACCTGCTGGGCTCAGGTGATCCTTTCACCTCAGCCTTCCAAGTAGCTGGAACTACTGGCATATGTCACCATGCCCAGCTAATTTTTTGATTTAGTGTAGAGATGAGGTCTTGTCAAGTTGCCCAGGCTGGTCTCGAACCCCTGGGCTCAGGCAATTCTTTCACTTCTGCTTCCAAAGTGCTGGGATTACAGGTGTGAGCCACCATGCCTGGCCTAAATATACTACTTTTAATTAGATAAACTCTAAAATAGTACCCTCTTCAAAACTCTAAGTAGAATTTCACAATAGAACTGTTCTAAAATGTATACAAAGGAACTATTTGTATGCTGCTCCAATGAGTCCCTTACAGAACAATAAAAATCTAATTCAGGTAAGTTTCTTGGAATAATGATTTTTTATTATTATTATTATTATTATTATTTAGTTGGAGTCTCACTCTATTCCCCCAGGCTGGAGTGCAGTGGCATGTTATTATTATTTAGTTGGAGTCTCACTCTATTCCCCCAGGCTGGAGTGCAGTGGCATGTTCACGGCCACCCCAGCATCAGCCTGCTGGGCTCAGGCGATCCTTCCGCCTCAGCCTTCCAAGTAACCAGAACTACAGACATGCGCTACCATGCCTGGCTAAGTTTTTGATTTATTGTAGAGATGAGGTCTCACAAAGTAGCCCAGGCTGATTTTTCTATAATCTAAAGTTCAAGAAGTACCATTCGGCCAGGTGTAGTGACTCACACCTGTAATCCTAGCACTTTGGGAGGCTGAGACAAGAGGATTGCCTGAGCCCAGTGATTCTAGACCAGCCTGGGCAACTTGGTGAGACCGTGTCTCTACAATGTCAAAAAATCAGCCAAGCGTGGTGGCTCATGCCTGTAATTCCAGCAGTGTGGGAGACTGAGGTGAGAGGATTACTTGAGCCCAGAGATTCATAACTAACCTGGGCAACTCGGCAAGACTTCATCTCTACAATAAACCAAAAAATTAGCTGGGTGTGGTTGTTCTCGGTTGGAGTTCCAGCTACCTGGAAGGCTGAGACAGAAGGATTGCCTGACCCCAGTAGGTCGAGGCTGAGGTGACCGTGAATGTGCCACTGCACTGCAGCCTAGGCAACAAAGGGAGACTCTGACTCAAAAAAAAAAAAAAAAAAAAAAGCTGGGCACAGTGGCTCACACCTGTAATCCCAGCATTTTGGGAGGCAGAGGCAAGAAGATTGCCTGAGTCCAGGGATTCGAGACCAGCCTGAGCAACTTGTCGAGACCTTGTCTCAACAATAAATCAAAAAATTACCCAGGCATGGTGGTGCATGCCTGTACTTGGAAGGTTGAGGTAGAAGGGTCACCTGAGCCCAGCAGGTCAAGGATATGGTGGTTGTGAGTGTGCTAGTGCACTCCAGCCTGGGCGACAGAGTGAGATTCCTACTCACAAAAAATTTTTTAAAACCACTATTCCACCAAGAGTAAATGTTCAGATGTTAATTAATAACAATGGACCACACAGATAAACACCCTGAGGGGCATGTCACAAGGACACCACTTGAGCCAGACTGAAAGGTTCCTTACTGGCAAAATCTACCCCCTTGATTTTGATTCCTAATTAGAAGGGCCATTCCAAGATGGCGAAGGTAATTTACCTACATTGTCACCTAGTACTTTTTTATTTCTTTTCTTTTTTTTTTTAGAGATAAGGCCTCACTATATTGTACAAGCTGGTGTCAAACTCCTGGGCTCAAGCAATGCTCTTGCCTCAGTCTCCCAAAGTGCTAGAATTACTGGCATGTGCCACCACGCTCAAGACAACTTTGTACGTTTGTAATTTAATTTTCTACACTTAAGTCTTATATTCATTTACATTTATTCTGACATGTAACATGAGATATGGATCTAATTATACCTTTTCCTAAATGGCTAGTGAGTTGCACAAACACTATTTATTTTAAAATTTATCTTTGGCCAGACGAGGTAGCTCACGCCTGTAATCCCAACACTTTGATAAACCAAGGTAGGAGGATCAATGTGCCCAGGAGTTCAAGACCAACTTTGGCAACACAGCAAGACCTCGTCTCTACCAAAATAAAATAATTGGTCAGGTATGGTGGTGTGTGCCTGTAGGCCCAGCTACTCAGAAGACTGAGGCAGGAGGATTGCTTAAACCTAGTAGTTTGAGGCTACAGTGAGCTATGATGGCTCTAAAAAAAAAATTAAAAATATATATATTTTATTTATTTATTTATTCATGCATTCATTCATTTGAGTCTGTCTTACTCTGTTGCCCAGGCTAGAGTGCAGTGATATTCTCAACAGTTACAGCACCTCTACCTGATAGGCTCAGGCGATCCTTCTGTCTCAGCCTTCCAAGTAGCTGGAACTACAGGCACACACCACCATGCCTGGCTAATTTGTTTTATTTTTATTGTAGAGATGAGGTCTTGCCAAGTTGTCCAAGCTGGTCTTGAACCCCTGAGCTCAGGCAATCCTCTCACCTCCACTTCCCAAAGTGCTGGGATTACAGGTGTGAGCCATCGCGTCCACCTTGTTTCCCTTTGTCATATGAACTTTAAAACTTGGCTAGTACAAGAAAAAAAAATGTATATGTATATTTTTATTTGGATCATGTTAAATTTATAAATTGATGTGGGGAGAACTGACATGTTTGTAACACTGAGTGTTTGTATCAAAAAGATGTTATAAGGGGGAGGAAGACAAAGGGGAAAAAAGATATTATGTCTTCCCACTTCTGCAAGTCTATTTCTGTGTCCTTTAGGAGCATTTTAAAAGTTTTGTCTGTAAGTTTTGCACATTTCTTTCTCTCTTTTTTTTTTTTTTGAGTCCGAGTCTCACTCTGTCCTCCAGGCTGGAATGCAGTGGCATGCTGCTCATGACCACCGCAGCCTCAACCTGCTGGGCTCAGGCAATCCTTCCACCTCAGCCTTCCAAGTAGCAGAACTACAGGCGTGTGCCACTATGCCCAGCTGATTTTTGATTTATTGTAGAGACGAAGTCTCATCATATTGCCCAGGCTGGTCTCGAACCCATGGACTCAGGCAATCCTTTTACCTTCGCCTCCCAAAATGCTGGGTTTACAGGCGTAAGCCACCATGCCTGGCTGAACATTTCTTAATAGGTTTATTTTGGGTATTTTATCCTTTATAAAAATGTTTCAAATCTTTTAATTTTTCATTTTGTAGCAGCAGGGTCTCACTCTGTCACCCAGACTGGAGTGCAGTGGTACAATTATAGCTTACTGCAGCCTCGAACTCCTAGGCTCAAGCAATCCTCCCCCCTCAGCCTCCAAAGTAGCCGGGACTACAGGCGTATACTAACAGACCTGGCAAAATTTTTTGTTTTTTGTAGAGACAGCAGCTTGCTATGTTTCCCAGGGTGGTCTTGAACTCTTGGCCTCAAACAATCCTCTTGCCTCAGCTTCTCAAAGGGCTGGGATTACAGCCGTGAGCCACCATGAGCAGTCCTCGGTATTTTGTCTTTGTTGCTACTGTAAATGGAATCTTTTCTTCGGTTATATCTTCTAACTAGCTATTTGTACATATAAAAAAATATCAATTTCTGGCAGCAGACAGCAGACACTCTTGCTGTTGTCCTGCCTTGTGTGTCCTTTACAACATATCTTTCCTTTAATAAATCTTTCTTAAAATATATATATATATTTATATTAATTTCTATAGATTAAGTTTACCTGGCTGAATTTTCCTGTTGTTTATAGTAAAATTTTCCTGTTGTTTACGTTTTTTAGTTGCTTATTGTGAGTGTTCCAAGTACACAAATACATCATCTGCAAATAGAGAAGGTTGTATCACCTCTTTTCCAATTACTTTACCACCAATTTTTTTTTTTTGAGTCAGAGTCCCACTTTATTGCCTAGGCTGGAGTGCAGTGGCAGGCTCACAGTCACTGCAGCTTCGACCTGCTGGGCTCAGGCGATCCTTCCGCCTCAGCCTTCCAAGTAGCTGGAACCACAGGTATGTACCACCACGCCTGGCTAATTTTTCTTAATTTATTAAAGAGATAAAGTCTGGCAATGTTACCCAGGCTGATCTTGAACCCATGAACTCAGACAATCATCTCACCTCAGTCTCCCAAAGTGCTAGGAATATAGACGTGAGTCACTGAGCCCAGCACCAATTTTTTTAAATTTCTATTTTATTTTAAAGATGTGGGGTACAATTCAGGATTAGGTATACAAGTCGACATTGTACAGGTAAAGTTTGGGCCTCCCTTTGGTCCTCACTTTGCCTGATTTGAGATCAGGTACGCTTACTGATGTTGTGCCCATCCTCCCACCCTGGCAGTATCCCACTACTGCCAATCCCGTTCTTATAGTATTATGGTAAATGTTCAGGGTCTGCTTATGAGTGAGAACATGTGGTACTCTGTTCTTTGTTTCTGTGATAGATCACTGAGTATTATACACTCTAAATCCATTCAAGCTGCTGCAAAGCCCATATGTTTGGAATTTTTTTCATGTATATAATTGTTTTGGTTAGTATCTCCAAAACAACGTTCTTTAGTGGTGTTATAGGGGGCATCACTGTCTTGTTCCTGATTTTAGTCAGAACACATGCTTGTGTTTCCCCAGTAAGTATGATCTAGCTGAGCTGGGTACAGAAGTATCAAGTGATTCCTATTATATTACTATTTTAAAATTAAGAATTGGTGTTAAATTTTGTCAAATGTGGCTGTGCGCAATAGCTCCCAGTCACGATAGCTCATGTCTGCAATCCCAGCACTTTGGGAGGCAGAGGCAAGAAAACTGCTGAGTCCAAGAGTTCAAGAACAGCCTGGGCAACTTGGCAAGACCTCAACTCTTCAATAAGTCAAAAAACTGGCCAAGCATGGTGACACACATCTGTAGTCGCAGCTACTCGCAAGGCTGAGGCTGAAGGATCGTCTCAGCCCAGCAGGCTGAAGCTGCAGTGGCTGTGAGCATGTCACTGCATTCTATCTTCGGCAACAGAGTGAGACTATGACTCAAAAAAAAAAAAATTACTTGGAAGACTGAGGCAGAAGGATCACCTGAGCCCAGCAGGTCAAGGCTGAAGGTGGCCCTGAGTGTGCCACTGCACTCCAACCTGGGCGATGGAGTAAGACTCCAACTCAGGCTGGGCTCGGTGGCTCAGCCTGTAATCCTGCGCCTTTGGGAGGCTGAGGTGAGTGGATTGACTGAGTCCGCAGGTTTGAGACCCACCTGGGCAGCGAGACCTCATCTCTGCAATAAATCAAAAAACCAGCTGGGCGTAGTAGCACACGCCTGTAGTTCTGGCTACTTGGAAGGCTGAGGCAGCAGGATCGCCAGAGCCCAGCAGGTCGAGGCTGCAGTGGCCAGGAGCAGCCACTGCACTCCAGTCTGGGCGACAGAGTGAGACTCCAACTCAAAAAAAAAAAGACTCCAACTCAGAAAAAAGGGGGAAGTCTGAAGTAAGAGGATTACCTGAGCCCACAGGTTCGAGACCAGCCTGGGCAACTTGGCGAGACCTCATCTCTACAATGAATCAAAAAATTAGCCAGGTGTGGTAGCGTGTGCCTGTAGTTCCACCTACTTGGAAGGCTGAGGTGGAAGGATCACCTGAGCCTAGCAGGTTGATGCTGGGGTGGCCGTGAGTGTGCCACTGCACTCCAGCCTTGGCGATGGAGTGAGCCTCTAACTAAACAAAACAAAAAAAAAATTGTCAAATGCATTTTCTGTATATATAGAGACAACAATATGAGCCATGGAATAACTTTCTTTTAGATATCTTTGCATTTTAAAAAACTGTTGCTTTATAGTTATTTAACCGTCTCATAGTCTAAAATTAAAAAAATATAGGTCAGGTGCAATGGCTCATGCCTATAATGTCAGCACTTTGGAAAATGGAGACAGGAGAATTGCTTGAGCCCAGGAATTCGAGACCAGCCTAGGCAACATAGCAATACTAGCCGGGCATGGTGGCATACACCTGTAGTCCCAGCTACTCAGGAAGCTGAGACAGAAAGACTGCCTGAGCCCAGGAAGTTGAGGTTGAGACTGTGGTGAGCTATGATCATGCCACTGTACTCCAGCCTGGATAACAGAGTGAGACTCCAATTAAAAAAATAAATAAATAAATACAGAATTCAAACATTTATGCCAACCTATCATTTGTCTTTAGATTTTGTTTATGACTTTTTTTGCTGCATCAAAATTTTAAAGATATTTTCATCTTGGGTCTATTTATGTGATGATTTATTAGATTTCCTAATATTTTGCATTCCTGAAATAAATTCTCTTTCAATGAAATAGTATTTTCTCGTAATACAACTTTAGTTTTGGCATTGATACATAAAAAGAATATGAAAGCTTTACTATTTTTTTTTTTAACTCTGGAAGAGTTTAAATAGTGGAATTGACAATCTGCTCTTTGATGGCTTGATAGAATTCCCTTATGAGGGGCAGGCGCAGTGGCTCATGCCTGTAATCTCAGCACCTTGGGAAGCTGAGGCGAGAGGATTGTCTGAGCCCACGAGTTTGAGACCAGCCTGGGCAATATGGCAAGATCTCATCTTTGCAATAAAACAAACAAAATTCCCTTGTAAAATTATCTGGAACTGGTGTTTTTTGTAGGCTAGCTCTCTGAAAATAAAAAGATTTTTTGAGAGACAGCATCTCACTCTGTCATCCAGGCTGGAGTGAAGTGGCATGATGACAGCTCACTACAGCCTCAAACTCCTGAGTTCAAACAATCCTCCTGCCTCAGCCTCCCAAGTAGCTGGGACTACAGGCATGCACCACCATACCCAGTTCATTTTTTAATTTTTTTTTAGAGACAAGGTCTTGTTATGTTGCCTAGGCTGGTCTCGAACTCCTGGGGCTCAACAATCCTCCCACCTTGGCCTCCCAAAGTGCTGGGATTAAAGGTGTGAGCCTTCATACCCGGCCCTGAAAATGTTTCTATTCTGTATGTAGAAATAATGCTAATTAGATTTCTTTTTCTGCTTTCTTTTGGTTTCCTTTTATATTATATTTCCTCTTTTACATCAGTTGCTTAATTCATAACTTTAATTCTTCCTTTACATTGCTATAATTATTTAAGGCTAATCATTTTGATTTTTGAGTGATGTTAATGTTAAAAAATTAAGAGAACACAACATTGTTTTTTTTTTGAGTTGGAATCTCACTCTGTTAGAGTTCATGGCTACTGCAGCCTCGACCTGCTGGGCTCAGGCAATCCTCTGCCTCTGTCTTCCAAGTAGCTGGAACTACAGGCGCGCCATCATGCTCAGTGTTTTTGTTTGTCTTTGTTTTTGTTTTTGTTTTCAGTTGGAGTCTTACTCTGTTGCTCAGGCTGGAGTGCAGTGGCATGCTCACAGCCACCATAGGCTCAACCTGCTGGGCTCAGGCAATCTTCTGTTTCAGGCTGCCAAGTAGCTGGAACTACAGGCACACGCCACTACATCTGGCTAATTTTTTGATTTATTGTAGAGATGAGGTCTCGCCAAGTTGCCCAGGCTGGTCTTGAACCCATGGGCTCAGGCATTCCTCTCACCTCAGCCTCCCAAAGTGCTGGGATTATAACCATGAGCCACCGTGCCCAGCCTTATTTTTTATTTTATTTTTTTACTGTAGAGACAAGGTCTCATCATGTTGTCCAGGCTGGTCTCAAACCCCTGGGCTCAGGCAATCCTCTCGCCTCCGCCTCCCAAAGTGCTGGGATTACAGGCGTGAGCCACCATACCAGACATAAAAATGTGACTAGAAGAACATGGCATGTGCTAACATAAACTGACCTCAACAGCCAAATATGAAAAACCTCCTACCTTTTGTTTTGTACTTACCTTGAAGGGAATCCAATTTAGCTTTAATTAACATTCTTAACCTTCCTATTTCTTGCCTTTTCAGTTCATCAAGTCTTGTCCTGACATTGTGACTTACTAAATCCAGCTCTTTGCTTAGCCTCCCACTCTGTTAACAAAATGAATAAATTAGTTTTATCTAGTACATTCCATGTTTAGACCAGATGCAACATATAAGAATAGGGCTATAATAAATTAGTGATAAATACTTTTGACTAATTTAGATAAACATATTATAAAAAGCATTTCTTTCAAAAGCAATTCAGTTCGTAATGCTAAAATCAAGATGTCTAAAAACCACATAATTCAGAAAAGCATAATTAAAATGCAAAAGAGAAACTCAAAAAGTTAACTTGTAAAATGGTGCAGCCACTTGGAAAAGAGTTTGGCAGTTCCTCACAAAGTTAAACATAGAGTTTCTATGATCCAGCAGTTCCATCGCTAGATATATACCTAAGAGAACTGAAAACATGGTAACGCAACAACTTGAACACAGGTGTTCTCAGCAGCATTATTCAGACTAGCCAAAAAAAGTAGAACTAACCCAAATATCTATCAACTGATGAATGGATAGACAAAACATAATATATCCATACAATGAGATATTATTCAGCTATTTAAAAAAATGAAAACCTGACACATGCTACAACATGAATGAACCTTGCAAACATGCTGAGTGAAAGAAGCCAGACACAAAAGACCACACTGCAATATTCGATTTATAGGTAATGCTCAGAACAGGCTAACCCATAGAGATAGAAAATAGGTTCACTGCAGCTAGGGAGAGGGGGCAATTGGTACAGAGTTTCTTTTGAGGCAATGCTCTAAAATTAGATACAAGTGATGATTGTATAACTCACTGGATATATTAAAAACCAGCGGATTGTATGCTTTAAGAGGGTGAATTTTATGGTATATGAGTCATATCTCATCAAAGTTTTTTTTTTTTTTTTAAATGTAACTTGGCCTCTTAAGCCTTAGTCATTCATATACAAATAGCTTTTCAGACTGGGCATGATGTCTCACACCTGGGCAACATAGCAAGATTCTGTTTCCAAAAAGAATAAAAAGGAATCGATTTCCAAAATATATCTTTTTTAGGTTGTCTCCTTGGATTACTTTTTTCCTAGATGAGTGATTAGCAGAGGACTAAGAATATACTGTTACAGAAGCAAAAAAGAGCAGTATATTTCAAGGAGAAAACAGTCATTATTATCAGATAGAACAATGGTTGTCAGAGCAAGGTCCCAACTAGAAGTGTCAGCATCACCTGGGAACTTTAGAAGTGTAGGCCCTCGACTTGCTAACTCGAAAACTCTGGAGGTGGGTCCCAGTCCTAAAATCTGAGAACTATTGAGTTAAAATAAAGGAGCCCAGTAAAATGAAGAATGAAAGGTGTTCACTATTCGCTGGATTAGGCAAATTAAAAAGTCATGGGGCCGGATGCGGGGTTTACACCTGTAATCCCAGCATTTGAGAGGCAGAGGCAAGAGGATTGCTTGAGTCCAAGGGTTCAAGACCAGCCCAGGCAACCTGGCAAGATCTTGTTTCTACAATAAAGCAAAAAATTAGCCAGGTGTGGTGGTACACACTTGTAGTCCCAGCTACTCAGGAGGCTGAGGCAGGAGGGTTGCTGTGGTAGCCATGACTGTGCCGCTGCACTCCAGTCTGAGACACAGAGTGAGACTCTGACTCAAAACAAAAAACAAAAAAAAGTCACAGACACACTCCATGAGAAAGCACATTCAGTGGAACAGCTAGGGCAGAGCCATGGTCACTCCAGTTCCAGAATGTCTAGGAAATGAAGAAATGCAGTGTGATTCTCCTTTCAAAATGCCTGACTGAAAAGGAAAGGGCAAACTTCTGACATTTTTGGTCATTTTTTTCTGACACAAGAATCTTTGTGGCCATGTGATGATTTGGTTAGCTTTGGTATTATTGTCTACTTTTGTTTTTCTGTTTTTGTTTTTGTTTTTGAGTAAGAGTCTTACTCCGTTGCCCAGGCTAGGGTGCAGTGTCACTCTCACCACCACTGCAGCCTCGACTTGCTGGGCTCAGGTGATCCTTCCGCCTCAACCTTCCAAGTAGCTAGAACCACAAGCATGCACCACTACGCCCAGCTAATTTTTTTTAAATTGTGATCAAATGAATTCTCCAGAGGAAGAGCCAGATCATCTCAAAGACAATTCAGGGGAATTATCACCATAATACCATTACCTTTTCCCCAGAACAGTTCCTGGCTTCCAAGCAGAAACTACACAAGTCCGACTCAAGTTCCAACGGGCACCACAACCTACTGGGAGTCAGTCTTCAAAGAAGTTCATACCAAGGACAGAGACTAAAATAAATGGGCCATTGTTTTACTAAACTCTGGTATGACCGTGTGCTCTTTGAGTTATGGCCACCACCATGTTTTCTAAGCTTTGGTCTCCTACCTTGGATAGGTGAATCTCCTCTCTCTTCTCTCTAATTTACTTTCTAAATAAACTATATTTTCTCATCTACAAATAAAAAAATAAAATAAAATAAAAAGGATGTTCAACCCAGAATGAGTCCAGCAACACTGTTTTCTCATTCTGATTCTGCCTCCTAAGTAACTACAACTACAGGCGTGTGCCACCATGCCCGGTTAATTTTTGTATTTTTTTGTAGAGACAAGGTCTTGCTATGTTGCCTAAGCTGGTCTTGAACTCCTGGGCTCAAGCAAGCCTCCTGCCTCGGCCTCCCAAAGTACGTGAGCTAGCATGTTCAGCCTACAACTCCATTTCCTATTATGAGTACCAGGGAGGGAGCTACCTACAGCTAGGATTATGTCTAATAGGGTTTATAGGACAGAGGCAGACGGTTAAATCTCACCTACTGACATAAGATGTAGTCTATTATCACTTCTATTAATTCGGACCCGATGAAAACACCAGAACCTAACGTCTTCTAAATCTCTGAATAGCTTCCTGCTGACCCAGGTCCCTCAACATGATACACAGAGTCCTCAGTCATCTGTGACTCTTTCCAACCTCATCCTTGGCCACTTGTGGTCTCCACTTCCCACTCTGGGAACCAGCATCAGTTACCACTTCCGGCTCCCTGTATGTCCCTTGTCTCTGTACCCTTGCACCTTTGTCTGGGTTGCCAGCCCCTCTCCTTTCCTCAGTTACATCTTTAAGCTCTGGCATACTCTCTACCCGGAGGAAGGACTCCCCACCCTCCCCCACTACTCCATACTAGATTACATGTCTGTCCTCTGTATTTCTAGAATATAATACATACACATCATGTAATCCATCCTAATCATCTATTTCTGGATATGATTTTCTCTTGAGGGCTGGAAATAAATCTCATTTTGTATCCCCAATACTCAGGTCAGTGCCTGGCATGCTGAAATGTTTGTTAAATAATTATTTAAATGCAGATGCAATAGCTCATGCCTGTAGTACCAGATACTCAGGAGGCTAAGGCAGGTGGACTGCTTGAGCCCAGGAGTTCGAGACCAGCCTGGGCAATATAGTGAGACCACCATCTCTAAAAGAAAATTAAAATTTTTAAGTATAATTACTTAATTACATTTACCTTTATTTCTTCTATGTCTGCCTTCTGGAGCTTTTCTCTGAAATGTTGGTCTGTTTCCAGCACATCAATCACTTGCTTGAGATAAGTATCATAATAAAGTCCGGTATCCTTCAAATTAAGAAACAAACAGTAATGCTTCTGAAAGTATTTTCTTGTCTGAATCTAAAGATCTCAATCCTGAAAAACAATTTCTAGCAAAATAATTCTGAGACATCTCTACTTGGATAGTTTCGATAGTCAAAGTCAAAAAGCTCTATTTCACAAATAGTTCTGTATCAGAACCAATATCATCTTTTATTGTTACATAAAGGCAGATTTTCTATATAAATGTATGCAATGAAGATTTAACCATTCATATGCAATGAAGGTTTCTCCCCATTGCCATCTGCCTCTCCTTTGAATATGATACAGTGTTTTCTTGACTGGTTAGTTCTACCCTAGAAATGTATTACAATTAATTCTTCTATGTATTATACTATCTAACAAATTAAATACATTACATAAACATTGTCTAATGTTAAACAGCATATGCTTGCCTAATACCCTTCTCATTGCTTTTGCAGAAATTGTTCCTGAATGTACAATTTTATAGGTAATAAATATTAGCAATATTTTGGTTAAAATTTCATCTCATCTCATTTCACTTAGTTATAATTATGACTCACTTCATTTAATTCCTCCCATTCCATTTCATTTCACTTACTGGTGGTTCTATCTTTGCACTTTCCACAGGATGAGTATTTTGGACTTTTGTCTTGTCTACGTCTATAGGCACAGATTCAAGAGCAGTAAGTAGACATGTCACCAAGAGAAAACAATATTGTAGCAGCATGGTCCTCCACCTCATCTGAAATGAAATAAAGGAAAAATTATGGTAAAGTCCTGGAAAAATATCTTAAAACTATATGCATGCATTTTGGCCAGGCAAGGTGGCTCATGCCTATAATCCCAGCACTTTGGGAGGCAAAGGTGAGAGGACTGCCTGAGCCCAGGGGCTCGAGACCAGCCTGAGCAACTTGGTGAAACCTCGTATCTACAACATACTTAAAAAATTAACCAGACATGGGGGCACTCATCTGTGGTTCCAGCTACTTGGAAGGCTGAGGCTGAAGGATCACCTGAGCCCAGCAGGTGGAGGCTGCGGTGGCTGTGAGCATGCAACTGCACTCCAGTCTGGGTGACAGTGAGACTCCAACACACACATACAAAGAAAACTATATACACGCACTCCCAATATCACATTAGTAATACATTCAATCTCAAGAGGTTTAACTCAACAAAAAAAGTTCTAGGAAAGGGAGAAAAATAGATTATAAGTTATCAAAAATAATGGATCACTAAAGAAAATAGAGCATTAAAGAAAAGCAGGAGAGAAATACTTTTCAGCCAAAAGTAAAAACACAAGACAAAAAATCCAAGCTGGGCACAGTGGCTCACACCTGTAAGCCCAGGACTTGGGAGTTTGGAAGCAAGAGGATTGCCTGAGCTCAGGGGTTCGAGAACAGCCTGAGCAGCAGGGCGAGACCTCATTCCTATAAATCAAAAAATCAGCCGGGCATTGTTGCACATGTCTGTGGTTCCAGCTATTTGGAAGGCTGAGGTGGAAGAATCACCTGAGCCCAGCAGGTAGAGGCTGCGGTGGCCTGAGCATGCCACTGCACTCCAGCCTGGTTTGACAGAGTGAGCCTCCAACTCAAAAAAGAAAAAGGAAAAACAACTCCAAAGTGTAAACTGCTAATATAATATAAGAAAACATGTGCATGTGGTTAATTACAAAAGTTTCAAATAAAGATAGTGATAAAGGAGCTGGGTGTGGTGGCTCACACCTGTAACCTCTGCACTTAAGGCAAGAGGACTGCTTGAACCCAGGATTTCGAGGCCAGCCTGGGCAACATAGTGAAACCTCATCACTACAAAAAAAAATAGCAAGGTGTGGTGGCCATACTCCTGTAGTCCCAACTACATGGAAGGCTAAGGTGGATGGATCGCCTGAGCCCAGCAGGTCAAAGCTGTGGTGGCCACGAGCATGACCCTGCACTCCAGCCTGGGTAACAGAGTAAGACTCTAACTAAAAAAAAAAAAAAAGAAAGAAAGAAAAAGAAAATATAATCTTATATTTAATTGATTTTTAACTTATAGACTTGTGTTAGGGTTCAAATCAAGAATAATGACCTAACCATCAATCTGGATTATGAGCAATTTAACTGAGTCTTCCAAACTTAGCTGGGTATGGACTTTTTTAAGGTAACATGTTTTTACCCACAGAACACAAATTGGAAAAGAATACATAATCTCATTTTCACCACAGCCTGAGGTGGTACACAAGAGAGTGACACATTTCACAAATGAAGAAATAATCGAGACCTGCCTGGGCAGGGAGACCTCATCTCTACGAGACCTCATCTCTACAATAAATCAAAAAAATCAGCCGGGCATGGTAGCACGCGCCTGGAATTCTGGCTACTCGGAAGGCTGAGGCAGAAGGATCGCCAGAACCCAGCAGGCGAGGCTGCGGTGGCCGGGAGCGGCCATTGCACTCCAGTCTGGGCAACCAAGTAAGACTCCAACTCAAAAAAAACAAAAAACAAAAAATCAGCCGGGCGTGGTAGCGCATGCCTGTAATTCCGGCTACTTGGAAAGCTGAGGCAGAAGGATCACCGGAGCCCAGCAGGTCGAG